CCTCTCGAAATGAATGCTAACATTGCATTTGCCTTCCTAACTGCCAACTGAATCTGCCTGTTAACCTGAAGAGAATCCTGAACTCTGACTCCCAAGTCCCTTTGTGCTTAAGAATTTGAAAATAGACTATGCTTCAATTTTTCCTACCAAAGTGCGTAACCTCATACTTTCCCACACTGTATTCCATCTGCCACTTCTAGCCTGTCTAAGTCTTTCTGCAATGTCCCTTCTTCCTCAACAGTACCTGCCCCTCCATCTATCATTGTGCAAACTGCAGACTGAGCAACAATGCCCTCAGTTCCTTCGTCCAGATCAAGAATGTATAAAGTGAATAGTCGTGGTCCCAACACTGACCCCTGTGGAACTCCACTAATCACTGTCTGCCATCCTGAAAAAGACCCCTTTATCCCTACTCTCTGCATTCTACCAGTCAGCCAATCCTCGTTCCATGCCAGTAACTTGCCCCTAACATCATGGGCTCTTATCTTATTTAGCAGCCTCCTGCACAGCACCTTGACAAAGGGCTACTGGAACTCCAAATAGGTCACATCCACTGGTTAGCTACTCCTTTTAGATTCATAGAGCCATAGAGTCATATAACATGGAAATACAGACCCTTCAGTCCAACTCATCTATGCTGTCCAAGTTTCCCAAACTAAACTAGTCCCATTTGCCTGCATTTTGCCCATATCCCTATAAACTTTTCCTATTCACGTACCAGTCCAAACGTCTTTTAAATGTTGTATCTATCACTTTAGGAAGTGCTCGCCCACCACCCTTAACTTTGGAGATGGTGAAGTTGCCTCCTCACAACACAATACACATCCTTTCCCCCTGACCAAATTGAAGGCCTGTTGGTTCATAAGCTCAATTGTTTCCTGTAGCTGCTTGGGTGTGGTATTCCACACTCCTACAGAAACTGGAGGTCTGCTTTGATGTTGCCAGGTAAACCAATGTGGAACAACGTGCATCTATCACTTCCTCTGGGAGCTTGTTCCATATGCACACCACCCATGTGTGAAAATGTTGCCTCTCAGGTCCCTTCTAAATTTTTCCCCTCTCACCTTAAATCTATGCCCTCTAATTTTGAACTCTCCAACCCCAGGGAAAAGACTTTTATCAATCACCTTATCTATAAACCTCTATAAGGTCACCCCTCAACCTCCTATGCTCTAGGGAAAACAGTCCCAGCCTATCCAGCCTCTCTTCATAACTCGAACCCTCTAGTTTCAGTAACATCCTAGTAAATCTTTTCTGCACCATTTCCAATTTAATAATAGGTTTGATTCACATGCGGTTGGTGAATGGGACAGATCCATGTTCTGGAAGAGTTGAACTTAATTACAAAGACATTTGGGGAGCAGTTTGTGATGATGAGTGGGACATAGAGGATGCGAACGTTGCTTGTAAGCAAATGGGCTGTGGACCAGCCAGTTCAGCTCCTGGGAGTGCTCAGTTTGGAGAAGCCACTGGAATGTTCTGGTTGGATGACGTTGAGTGTAAAGGGCATGAGTCGAACTTGTTCCAGTGTCCATCAAGCCCAGTTGGAAAACACAACTGCAACGCAGGAGAGGCAGCGTCTGTTACTTGCTTAGGTGAGCTTTGTGTTTTTCGATCGTTCCTCATAAATGCAATCAAGTTAATTTCAAGGTAAAAAAAAATTGCAGAAAACTGTGTTGATGATTCATAAGTGCATGAATACTTGCATAATTACAGAGTCAGAGTCATAGAGCACAGAAAAAGGCCTTTTGGCCCAACTCATCCATGTTGACCAGGTTTCCTGAACTGAACTAGCCCCATTTACCTGTGCTTGGCCCATATCCTTCTAAAACTTTCCCAACCATGTACCCATCCAGATGCCTTTTAAATGTTGTGATTGTACCCACCTCTACCACTTCATCTGGCAGCTCGTTCCATACATGCGCCACACTCTACATGAAAAAGTTGCCCCTCAGGTCTCCTTTAAATTTTCACCTCACCTTAAACCTGTACCCTGTAGTTTTGCACTCCCCAGCCCTGGGGAAAAGACCTTGGCTATTCACTTTACCTATGCCCCTAGTGATTTTATAATTCTCTATATGGTCACCTCTCCTTATAGCTCAAACCTTCCAGACCTGGCAACATCCTTGTAAGTGTTTTCTGCACCCTTTCCAGTTTAACAACATCCTTCCTATAGCAGGGTGGCCAGAATTATACACCGTATTCAGAAAATGGCCTCACCAATGTGCTCTACTGCTGTAACATGATGTCCCAGCTCTTATACTCATTATATAAGGCAAGAATGCCAAATGCCTTCTTAACCACCCTATCCACCTGTAACACCATTTTCAAGGAACTATATACCTGCACCCTCTAATCAACAAAACTCCCCAGGGCCCTACCATTAGCTGTGCAAGTCCTGTTCTGATTTGACTTACCAAAATGCAACACTTCACACCTATCAAAATTAAACTCCATCCACCACCCCTCACCCCATTGGCCCAGGTGATCAAGGTCCCCTTGTACTCTTAGCTAACCTTCTTCACTGTCCACTGTACCACCAACTTCGGTGTCATCCGCAAACTTACTAACCATGCCTCTTAAATTCTCATCCAAATTGTAAATATAAATGACAAACAACCGTGGACCCAGAACCGATCCTTGCAGTACACCGCTAGTCACAGGCCTCCAGTTCAAATACCAACCCTCCACCACCACCCTCTGTCTTCTACTATCAAGCCAATTTTGTATCCAATTGGCCTTTCTCCCTGGATCCCATGTAACCTTACCTTACTAACCAGTGTACCATGTGGGACCTTATACAGGGAAGTGCCGGGTGCTATGAAGAAAATGTCAATTTCCCCACCCGTATCAATTTAGAATACAAAGAGTCCTTCATCTCATCTATTCTGAGCCAACCTTTCCTACAATTTCCCACTTTCGCCCACTAGCTGCACAGCATTGAATGGTTATGACACTTTGAGTGCTCATCCAAGTACTTTTTAAAGGTTGGGAGATTTCCCGCCTCAACTAACCTCCCGGGCGGTGCATTCCAGACACCCATCCAACCTCTGGGTAAATTTTCTTCCTCTCAAATCACCTTCAAACCATCACTTGAAAATTATTACTCCCCCTCATTATTGACCCTGTGGCTTAGAGGAGGAGAATTTAGCAACCTTTAACAATCATAGAATCCCTATAGTGTGGAAACAGGCCCTTCGGCCCAACAAGTCCACACCAAGCCTTGGAGCATCCCACCCAGACCCATCCCCCTATAACCCACCTAAACTACACATCCCTGGACACTATGGGACAATTTAGCATGGCCAATCCACCTAGCCTGCGCATCTTTGGACTGTGGGAGGAAACCGGAGCACCTGGAGAAAACCCACACAGATACAAGGAGAATGTGCAAACTCCACGCAGACAGTCGCCCGAGGGTGGAATCAAACCTGGGTTCCTGGTGCTGTGAGGCAGCAGTGCTAACCACTGAGCCACCGTGCCACCCACAAAGTACATGTGGTGTAATTGGTTCCCATGTTATCTTTGAACTGTGCACGATCAATGAAGTGATTTGTTGCGACAGTGCAAGTCCTAGGTACTGTCATAGACTTGCTGAATCAATGACATTAAGAAATCAGTGTAACTTAGATAAGAGGGTAACACCAGTGGTCCGTAATGTTAGTGCCTCACCCCTCATTCTTGCCAGTGAAAAGCAAAAACCAGCCTAACTTTCGATGCACAAACACAGAAAACCTCACGTTGCTATTGCATGTAGCCATACAGACAGAAAATTCACCTGTTGTACAACAGCACAGACTCTACTGAGATTAAACTGACCTGCATCAACATACACAGGAGAACGTTAGGAGGAGCAATGGTGTATTTTATTTTTAAATTCATTTACCAGATGTGCGCTTTGTCCAGCATTTATTCCTGTCCCTAACTGCCCCAGAGAGTAATTAAGAGTCAACAACACTGCTGTTGAGTCTGGAGTCACATATAGGCCAGACCAGGTAAGGATGGCAGATTTCCTCCCCTGAAGGGCATTAGTGAACCAGATTTTTCCAACAATCGGCAATGACTTCATGGTCATCATTAGATTCTTAATTCCAGATTTTTATTGAATTCAAATTCCACCATCTGCCAGTTTGAATCCGGGTCCTCAGAACATTACCTGAGTCTCTGAATTAACAGTTCAGCGATAATACCACAAAGCTATTACCTCAGGAAGGTTTTTCCCTGGTTGTCATAAGACTTTTAATTCCAGATTTTGTTTTATTTCATTCAAACTGTCTCAGTCTCAATATTCCAACAACTGAACAGCAAATCGGAGGCAAAAAAATGTTGATGACTCTCCCTTGCTTCCCTCGAAATGCCTCTTTCATAAAAGGGAAAGTGTTCATGGGATCTGGAGTAGGCCATTCAGCCCCTCAAGCCTGAGGTGCCATTCAATGACTGATTTGTGGTCTAACTCCATAGACCTGCCTTTGGCCCTTATTCACTTAATACCTTTGCTTAACAAAAAATTATCTCTCTCAGATTTAAAACTAACAACTGATCCAGCATCCACTGCCATTTGTGGAAGAAAGTTCCAAATCTCTCCCACCCTTTGTGTGTAGAAGTGCTTCCTAACATCTCTACCGGCCCTAATTCTCAGACTATCCTTCCCTAGTTCTAGAATCGCTAACCAGTGAAAGTGCTCCATACAGTATATCTTAAATATCTTCAGTTATCTTAAATACACTTCCCTCCTTTAGATCCGATTTCACTGCGATTCATGAATGGGACGGACAAGTGTTCTGGGAGAGTTGAGGTCTATTATAACAACAGTTGGACAGCCATCTGTGACAATGGTTGGGACATAGATGATGCCAATGTCGTTTGCCGTCAACTGGGCTGTGGGCGAGCCAGATCAGCTCCAGGGGGTGCCCATTTTGGCATGGAACCTGGAGACTTCTGGTCATATACAGTCAAATGTAAAGGAACTGAGTCCAACCTCATCCAATGTCAAGCAACTTCAATGGAAGGAGGCCATTGCAGTTTGGGATACGCAGCTTCTGTTATTTGTTCAGGTAAAGGTTTATTCACATGTTTTAAGTAATGTTCATGCCACATAAATCCCAGACAATGAACATCTCCAATAAGAGAGAATCTAACCACAGGCCCCTTGATGTTCAATGGTATCACCATCACTGAATTGTCTCCTTCTGCTATCAACATCCTGGTACCCTTAATATCGTTGCTGAACAAACATTGATCTTTCTCAGATTTAAAACTAGCAACTGATCCAGCAACCTCTGCTGTCTGTGGAAGAGACTTCCAAACCTTGATCACTCTTTGTGTGTCGAAGTGCTTCCTAACATCTCTCCTGAATGGTCTGGCCCTAATTCTCAGACTATGCCCTCCCTAGTCCTAGAATCTCCAACCAATGGAAATAGTTTATCTTTATCTACTCTGTCTTTTCTCGTAAATGTCTTGAAGAATTCAGATCACCCCTTAACTTTCTAAATTCTACAGAAAGGCCTAATTTGTAGAATCTCTCTTCATAATTTAACCCCTCCAGCCCAGGTATCATTCTTGTAAACCTACATTGTACTCCCTCCAAGGCCAATCTATCCTTCCTAAGATGTGGTGCCCAGATCTACTCCAAGAGGGGTCAAACCAGGGTTTTGTATAACTGCAACATACTTTCTACATCCTTGTACTCTAGTCCTCTAGATAGAAAGACCAGCATTCCATTAGGTCTCTTCAATGCCCTGTGGGAATCATCTAGCAATGTAGGGACAGGCTGCACATAGTGAGTCTTTCTGTTTGGGGACATCTGATGTAGCAAGGTGGATAGTACATATTCACTGGAGTGTAGGGTGCGAGAGATGTGAGTGCCAAGTTTGAAACACAGGGGAAATATTACCATTGCACTGCTTGATGGAACGAGATACCTCCTCCCCTTGCTATGAGATTTTGTTTTCCTGGATGCTGCCAAGCTTATAATAATAGAGTCAGTTATGTATGTGCATCCACAGAGCATGGCATACAAAATCTGAGACAAAAACAATAATTACTAAACAAAATCAACCATGCATTTGAATTTCGCACCACGATCAAATTGTGAAAGTGATATCATAGAGTCATACTGCAGGGAAACAGGCCCTTCGGCTCAACTTGTCCATGCAGACCAGGTTTCCAACTAGTTCTGTTTGCCTGTGTTTGGCCCATATCTCTCTAAACTTTTCCTACCCATGTACTTGTCCCTGTGTTTTTGAAATATTGTAAGTGAACTTGCTTCCACCACCTCCTTGGGCAGCTCGTTCTATACATGCACCATCCTCTGAGTTGAAGAGTTGCCCCTTGGTTTCCTTTTAAATCTTTCCCCTCTTACCTTAAACCTATGGCCCTTAGTTTTGGACTCCCATACCTTAGGGAAAATACCTTAGCTATTCACGTAATCTATGCCTCTCATGATTTTATAAATCTCTATAAGGTCAACCCTCAGCCTCCTATGCTCTAGGAAAAAAGTCCCAACTTCTTCTTATAATTCAAAACCTCCAGTCTCAGTAACATCCTTGTAAATATTTTCTGCACCCTTCTCAGTTTAACAACATCATTCCTATAGCAGGGTAACCAGAAATGTAGGCAGTACCCGCAATGTGGCCTCACCACTATTAGCATTAATTGCGTTTACATATTCCCGCAGATTTTAATATTGTCACTCCAATAGAAAACAAGCAATCATCCTTTTTATTTCAATATTGAGTGTCACATTCGCTATCAGATTAACCTGCTTTTTCATTCTGTATCCACCAAGTAGTTATGTCATTTTGAAAGTAGATGTGAGAACCATGTTTATTCTTCTGCGTTTATTCTTAGGTTTTTAAATTTTATTTTTATAAATCTTATAAATTATTGGCCAAACAATAATCCTGTGACGCCAGTAGCTGCTCATAAGAGCTTCACTTTGTAGAGCACCAGGAGAACACCGCTCCCTGGGTCAGAATTTGCAAGTTCAAGTCCCACCACAGAATGTGTGGATTATCATAACAACAGGACTGATCACAGAATGAAGTAAATTATGGATTTTCTTCATGTTAATATTCCTCTGATTTACCAGGATGTGTCCTTTTTGTTTTCACTGCAGGTCTTTATTCCATTGAACAGCTATTTCGCCTCTGCCTTGCAGCTGCTGTTTTGGTTCTGCTCACAATCTTTCTTGTATTGGAACTGAGAAGAAAATCCTAGGAATTGAAGAATTAATTATGATAGTTTTCTCATTACCTTTCATAATTTTGTGAAAGTAATAGGTTGCGAATTGGCTGTTATTGCGGGGAGGGGGTGTGAGGGATGAGTTGCAGGAAATGTGGGAGACACGGTCGAGGGCGATCTCAACCACTGAGGGGGGGAGGTTGCGGTTCTTGAAAAACTCTGGCAACCACCTGGAAACCGATATCCATTTCAAGCCCACCGACTCCCACAGCTACCTAGAATACACCTCGTCCCACCTACCTTCAAAAATACTATCCCCTATTCCCAATTCCTTTGCCTCCGCCGCATCTGCTCCCAGGATGAGGCATTCCACCCCCGAACATCTCAGATGTCCTCGTTTTTCAAGGACCGCAACTTCCCCCCCTCAGTGGTCGAGAACACCCTAGACCGTGTCTCCCGCGTTTCCCGCAACTCATCCCTCACACCCCCTCCCTGCAATAACAACCAAAACAGAATCTCCCTCATCCTCACGTACCACCCCACCAACCTCCGGATCCAACGCATCATCCTCCGACACTTCCGCCATCTGCAATCTGACCCCACCACCAAAGACATTTTTCCCTCCCCACCCTTGTCTGCTTTCCGGAGGGACCACTCTCTCTGTGACTCCCTTGTCCGCTCCACACTCCCCTCCAGCCCCACGACACCTGGCACTTTTCCCCGCAACCGCAGGAAGTGCTACACCTGCCCTTACACCTCCCTCCTCACCCCCATCCCAGGCCCCAAGAAGACTTTCCACATCAAGCAGATGTTCATCTGCACATCTGCTAATGTGGTATACTGTATCTGCTGTTCCCGTTGTGGCCTCCTCTACACTGGGGAAACCAAGCGGAGGGTAGGGGACGCTTTGCAGAACACCTGCGGTCAGTTCGCACTAAACAACTGCACCTCCCAGTCGCGAACCATTTCAACTACCCCTCTCATTCCTCAGATGACATGTCCATCTTGGGCCTCCTGCAGTGCCACAACGATGCCTCCCAAAGGTTGCAGGAACAGCACCTCATATTCCGCTTGGGAACCCTGCAACCCAATGGTATCAATGTGGATTTCACAAGCTTCAAAATCTCACCTTCCCCTACCACATCCCAAAACCAGCCCAGCTTGTCCCCGCCTCCCTAACATGTCTTCCTCCCACCTATCCCCTCCCACCTCAAGCCCCCCCCCCATCTCCTACCTACTAGCCTCATCCCACCCCCTTGACCTGTCTGTCCTCTCTGGACTGACCTATCCCCTCCCTAACTCCCCACCTCACCTTTACTGGCTCCATCCCTGCCTCTTTGACCTGTCTGTCTCCTCTCCACCTATCTTCTCCTCTATCCATCTTCTGTCCACCTCTCCCTCCCTCCCTATTTATTTCAGAACCCCCTTCCCCTCCCCCATTTCTGATGAAGGGTCTAGGCCCGAAACATCAGCTTTCCTGCTCCTCTGATGTTGCGTGGCCTGCTGTGTTCATCCAGCATTCCTGGTATGACTTGATTTAATCTCTTTTCTCCCTGCAGCTGTAACTCAGTTGAGAAGCTACACAACAGACTGAACAATAAACTACTTCAGTAGTTCAATAATTCTCCAAAGATTTGCACTCTGGTCCATACAAGAATACAGTGGAAGGATCCCTCATCTGCTGCAAGGTGGGAGATTTCAAGAAGCTCGCTGAATATTGATTGCTCAAAAACAAATAAAATGCCAAGTGGAGACTGAGGACCAGAGATACCCTAATCTCATGAACAAAGATAAAAGAAAATGAGAATTGCAACAAAAGTGAAATGAGAAATTGCATTTGTGCACCAAGGTGTAGCCTTATGACTGTGTGGTCAGTGAATCTAATGACAGATATATGTACAATATATGCAACATACAATGTACCGGATACATGTTGTGTTGGAACCATCATTGTTTTTCTTCATTTTTGGAGCAGTGAGCTGAAGTTGAACATTGAATTTGGAACTTTGATCGGCAGCTTCTGTTTCATTTTTAAAAGAAAAAGAGACTAACGTTTGCATTTGGGAGATGGCCTGGAAAGATAACTACAGGTTAATTATTGTTCAAAGAACATTGTAGACATTTCAGTGCAAGGATGTGCTATGCAGAAGGACTGGCAGCTGATGTTGGTCAATCAAGGGGAATTCAGTGCTGGCCAGCCAATCACAGAAAACTTTGAAAAAGGGATATCATCAACTAAACTGTTTGTGGTTAGGTTTCCTTTACAGAAGGAGGCTGAATGCTAGGAAGCTGCTGGAGGGAAGCTGTGTGTGCGTAATATTATCTGTAGCTTTATATTCAGTTAATGAATTGTTGAATGTTCTGATAAAAAGATTCCCAGTTTCTAAGAAAGAAGTGAATTTCCTTCCAAGCCTGCTGGAAGATGTGTGAATTGACTGGTGACCTCAAAATTCAACCAAATACATCCCATGTACCTGTGATATAACACTTTGTTTAATGATTCCATAATGACTTGTACTAATTGTTATAATATTATCAAAATGGCAAATTTCTTTCCTTTTAATTTATCCCTTTAGTTGTGTATGTCTGCCCTTGCGTGTGGGTGGTGGATATGATCACAAAGAAGATTGAACTTAAATCATTGGCATTAATCAGATTACCTTGTTGTTTAGCTTGATTCTGCTAAAGGTACAGCATTAATAATAAATTGTTCATTTCTGTTCAAGTTATAAACTTGGTCATAGAGTCATACAGCATGGAAACAGACCCTTCAGTCCAACCAGTCCATGCCAAACATAATCCCAAACTACACTAGCCCCACCTGCCTGCTCCTGGCCCATATCCCTCCAAACCTTTCCTATTCATGTATTTATCCAATTGTCTTTTAAACATTGTAATTGTACCCGCATCGACCACTTCCTCAGAAAGTTAATTCCACATGGGACCTACCCTCTGAGTGAAAAATTTGCCTCTCATGTCTATTTTATATCTCTGTCCTGTCACCTTAAAAATGTGCCTCTTGGTCTTGAAATCCCCCATCCTAGGAAAAAGGCAACTACCATTAACTGTATCTATACATCTCATTATTTTATGAACTTCTATCAGGTCGTCTCTCAACTTTCTATGCTCCAGTGAAAAATGCCCCAGCCTATCCAGTCTTTCTTTATAACTCAAACCTTCCATAGCTGACAACATACTAGTAAATCTCTTCTGAGCCCTCTCCAGCTTGATAATATCCTTCCTATGACTGGGAAACCAGAATTGGACACAGTATTCCTGAAGGGGACTCAACAATGTCCTGTACAATCTCAACATGGTGTCAGATATCTGTTATTTTAGAGTTTGGTTAGGAACAGTAGGGCAATTTTGAGCTTCATTGATTATTGTAATGTCAGTATGTTGTGAATCCAGTGATAACGAGCTTGGCTTGCTGTCTTTATGTTCTTACCAAGAGTAATCGCACTGTCAAGTTATTGGCTGGCACAGGCACTGAACGGTAATTAAAATCTGAAATCTGTCCCTGATCTATACTACCCTGAATCCGGCATTCTGTGCTGCATTGCAATTCTGAACACTTTCCTAAGCCTTCTTCAGTGCTTGGCAATTACAAAAAAGTCCAGGTGTTGCTGCAAAATAGCTCATTCCCAAACAGAGCAAGGTCATTACTAGTCAAAACAGGCTGCTTTTACACTAAAGCCTGTTTTCCACATTGAAATAACTCCACAGAGGCCGGTATCCTGTCACCAAGTCACCCATTATTTACAATTGCAAAGTACTTGACACTAGTCAGGCTTCCTCAGAGTCAGCTGTCAGAGTGACCAGAACCTCTGACACTCCTGGTTATATATGTCAGCGAAGGTTCCCTGATTGGATCAGGTCAACAGCCCCAGTAAGGGAACTCATACTCTATGAAGTCCACCTGGCTGACCTCATCACAATCACTGCAGGTACAATTACAACGTTTAGAAGACATTTGGACAGATAAATGGACAGAAACATTTAGAGGGGTATTTGCCAAATGCAGGCAAATGGGACTACTTTGGTTTAGAAAACCTGGTCAGCATGGACAAGTTGAGCCGAAGGGCCTGTTTCTGTGCTGTATGACTCCATGTCTCAATGACCAGTGAGGATTCTCCTTCTCAACTTCTCCCCTCGCCTGAGGCATGGAGACGCTCAAGTTAAACCATCACCAGTCATCTCTCTCTAATGAGAGAGCAGCCCTAATGATCTGCTAAGACTATGACGAGTCTTACGTTCATTGTTTCCTGACAGTTTTTGTTTTTCCACAAGAGGACAAACTGACTCAAAGATAACCGAGATAGTAGGAACTGCAGATGCTGGAGAATCCGAGACAACAAGGTGCAGGGCTGGATGAACACAGCAGGCCAAGCAGCATCATAGGAGCAGAGAGGCTGACGTTTCGGGCCTAGACCCTTCA